ATTAATTATTGACCATTGTAAATAGTAGCGAGCCTTACATGTAGATTCTTAAATATTTTGAGAGTACCTAAACCTTTATGCCTATAAATTTTCTTAAATTGCAGAATGCAAAATTCGTCTTTTGCCTAGAACTGGTTCATTCAGATGTATGAATTAAATGTTATTAAATTAAAACTTTTTTGTGTAAGTCTTGCAAAACGGACTTATCCACTAATATTTTTGAATCACCCTCTAAAAAGATAACGCACTAGCAAAACTAAATAGAGTTCTAGAATGGCTTAAGCTAGTAACAGTAGTAACGTCTTTGGAAATATGAAGGTGGAATAGGAGAAGTCAGCCACAAGGAAAATAAGCGTACGCTTGCTACTTTAGTTGCTATTGATTTAAAAACTATTCTTCATCCTTGTTTAATGGAGCATCTTAGCAGGCAATATATGTGGCCCGACTATACATACATACTTCCCACCACGGATATACCGAAAGCAGGAAAAACTCGCCGAGACACGTCAAACGATTTGACAATTGGGACAACTTAACCAAATACTACTTCACTTCCTTTCACCCTCTGCCCTCCAGGGCCATTACCTTAAAAATTTTAAATGACAAGGGTATCGAGTAATAGCTTGCTTGAAAGGTCGTTTATTTTTTAAAATCTGTCGAATCGTGCCGAGAAAATTAGAAAAATCTTTATTTATTTACAATTTAAAACGGAAACTACCAACATAAACAGCAATTCGGAAGATAAGAGGTGGCAGCAACCAAATAAAAATCCGAATGTTTTTCCGCATTCTTTTTATCAACACAGATATCCTGGTCCAACTATATTTATTATTATACGTGTTTGGTTATTTGTTGCTAAGGGAAAGGAATAATTTAATTTGCTGTCAGTTACCTTTGTGACAATCTTGGGATAGTGAAAATGGATTTATTGATTCAGATTCTACTTCCAAAATGGTTTGTACACTAGTCGAAGAGTGGAATTCTAATTTATGGACAGACAGACATGTGGGAAGATCACTTGGCATAGGTAGGTATGTTTTGGACCTTGTTACTAAATTTACTCAAACTCGATCTGTTGCAAATAAACAACGTGATCATCGGAGAGTTTTGGATGAGGCTGCTCAAGTTGATGTTTTGGATCATTTTAAATCAATCCTAATACATCATTACGCATCATTGTTGCTGCGACTGGTCTTTCATTAGGCTCTGTTCACACAGTTATGAAACTCCATCAATTTCATCCATTCAAAATGAAAATATTGCAAGAGCTAACCGAACATGATTTCGATAGGCGAGTTGAGTTTAGTGAACAAATGACTGCAGCGATTAATGATATGTAAAGAATATCTGCTTCAGTGCATTCTATCTAGATGGATTTGTTAATAAACATAACTGCAGGTATTGGAGCAATTAAAATGCTCATGGTTTTACAGAAGGGCATACCCAGTCCTCCCAAAAAATTAATGTATGAGCAGGCATTTTAGGAAACAAAGTGTGTTTATTAATGGAAACATTTATTTGGATATGTTGGAAAATAACATCAATCCGCTTTTCACTGAAACCATTGAAAACTAAATCGAAGATAGACAAGCCCTTTCAGTTGGTACCAATCATGGGGTTTACTATGGAAATAATGAATCGCCATTTTGTCACATAAACCACATTGGATTAAAAATGACGGTTTCTTATTTAGTGTGCCATGTCATGAAGTCGATGCGTGTCTATAAAAATTTAAGCTTCAGTGGTTAGGGTTAATTGGTTCAAAATTCATTTTCAAGACTTGCGCCGCACTAGCTTAGTAACCAGCACATATACGTAGATATTAACAAGTATCATTTATATTTATCAAATCTCATTTACTGCCAGCTAAAACAAACACCAATGCGCGATGTTCAAATTCGTGCTCTTCCTATTGGCCACCGGAACATAAATGCCAGGGCAGGCGAAGACAAGCGAAAAGAAGCGGCGAACGAGTGCTCATGTCTGATTTGACGCGAACTAAGTGAGCTTTGAATAGGATTTAACAGGTCAAACCAAATTAAATCTTGTAAAAAATTCGCCTAGTGCTCTGCACTTTTAGTATCCGTAAAGCATGCCACTAAGTCCACGATGGCTGCCTGTCAGTTAACCTGGCGCGAATCCGTCTAACTATTCCAGTACGAGTGTAAAAACATACCTATTAACAACTATAATGTTGCCAGCACAAAGAGAGAGATATGTACTTAATACTTACCTGTGTTGACAGAGCTTATTTACATTACTTCTGAATATCTTGGTTTATTTATTCCTTATTTTGTGCTGGTCACGCTACCCTCCTCCACTGTTGTATCGATGCCGCACTAGATTTTGAGTATGAGGATGCTTTCTCGGTATATTACCAGCTGCCATTAAGTTCTTTTTTTATAGCACCACGGCTAATGTGATGGATGTACACATTAATTTAAGGAACGGTTCCCGAAAGAGCATCTCCGAAGATTTATCAATCAAGGAAAGGTTCGACAGCTACCTTATTGCTTCTGATGGTCTTCTTAGAAAATCGCCAGATTCCCGCGGTGCACAAAACTAATAAGAATTGTTTTATAAACCGTTTTCGGCTACTCAAACTGAGCTTAGTTCTATACGATGAGATACGTAGGAACGATCCCATTTCAGGAGTGTAGTTGATGCCATATTATCACTATTAATGAATTTGTCAATAAGGGACAATTAAGTATATATGTTATAGTTCATTTCACGGTTTTTGGCGGGTCGCACTGAAAATACCGCCGTCCCTTTTATACATCCATCCCCCTCACACATACGTATGCAGTCTGCTCGCTCGTCATTGTTTCCCAGAGCGGTCCGTAGGACCTTTGCTCTTGGTTAAAGTATTGTAAGGCAGTAGGTCTGTCAGGTCCCATTATCCATATACTAGACAAGGTCAAGGAGAAAGAAGGGAAGAATACAGAAAAGATGGAAGAAGGAAGAAGAAAAAGAAGTGTGTCAGCTTGAGGGGTTCCTTGTTATTGTTAACTAGTATACGGGAATTTTAAATTAATTTATAGATTCGTTGTTGATGAAAAATCATAATTTTGGTAGGTCCTAATTTAATTGTGTTCACAGTACGAGCCGAGGCCTTGTGTGCTTGCAAACTTGCTCGACTGTGTAGTCTACTGATTCGCGCAACAAAGGGTTGTTGTGCGATTCCGCTCTTCATGCAATCTGCCTTTGTTCACGGACGCTTGCAGACATGTGTAAGCTTAGACATTCGTTCTTTAGTTTCGTCTTGCCACCTCGAATATACCTGATGATTATTCCTAATCTTTGTCACTGTCAGTGTCATAACCCGCTTGACATAGACGTATCATTTTGAGTTTACCTTTTATTGGTATTTGTGGTATAAAACAACAGTATCTGAAATTACAACTAACGGGCCACACCATTAGTTTATGCCAATGTTATTGGAGTATTTTGAGAAAGCGAATGAAAGCAATCATATTTTAACCAGTAATTTATTAACCGTCAAAAACCATGAAAAGACCCATACGTCATTATTTGATTTTATTTCAGATTGTTAAATAATAATATATTGTGTGCTTGAACTGCTTTAACATACACTCATTCTGAGAATTGGTTTTGGGGTGAAATATAAGAATAGTAAATGCATATATGCCTAGCTGAGATAACTACCACGTTTTAAACAAAAATGACTATGGTGTGTCAGAGTATTTTGGTAAATAAGGAATGAAATAAAAATATCAATTTGTGTAACAGAAATTTAGCGGTATCTATAACTGTAGCAAGTCACAACTATATCTCAGAGATAATGTTAAGGCGCATACAGACATCGCGAGGCGTGCTTCGCGAAAGGTTCGTCTCGCACGCCTCAACCTGAGGCATACGGCGTTACATTTATGCATGCGCCCCGAATGACACATGCTCAAGCTGAGCACGCAAATAACCATGCACGGTATTCGTCTGTGAGAAAAATGGGCTCTGGCAAGGCGGGAGGTGCAGATTGTTGTGATATTTGACGCCACACGTCTTTTACATTTATTATAATAATCAGAATATTTAGAGTACCATAACACTGTTATTTTCATAAAGTTGAACCAGTTCACGCAGTGATTCAGTATCGGTCTCCATAACACATGAGCGCGCAACGCAAATCACACCCGTTCGTCCACCCTGAGTGCAAGGCTTGCACCACAAAACATATACACTGAAGAAGGTTTAATTCCATGCTATTCAATGGAAACCGCGGCAACTCTGATCTTCCTCAGGATCTGCCAGAAGCCTGGCTAACCTAACCTTAAAAAAGAAAGTTTTGATGTGGAGTTTGTCTTATAGTATTTACAAACATAGGTATTACAGCTTTGTGTACTTACAATGTTATGCTTGTCTGTATGCGCCTTAAGACTGCTACGACAACACAAATACCAGGAGAAATAGAAAAAGAACTTCCCCTCTCCTGGTTTCAGCTCCTTTGAGGTTGACTACTATTATTGCATACTCCTTCCTATTTTGTGATGTACACATTAAAGTGGTTCTGTCCATTACAATGTTGCGGAATATTTCTGGCTAAACTTCTATTTTCCCTAGATCGTAGCTTAGGAGTTTACATACTTGTTGTGCCTCACCAGGTCGTTTTTTCGAATTTGATAGTGATGATTAGACGGGAAGGTATATGTATATATATAATACTAGTATATTGTGTGTAGAACATTCTGGTTCAATATTATCTAAGTCCAGATGATTAGTAGGATTCTTCTGTCCATCCATATCTCAAATTAATGTTTGTGTTTTTCAATGGTCACGTCTTACAAATGTACAATTGTACAATGGTAGTGACCAAATATAGAACTTTAGTTCACCTAAGAATGGGTATAAATGAAAGGTTTCAGGTTACTTAGGGCTTTGGTCTTCTTCTATACATATTTTTATCTATTTGCTCTGATCCAATTTGCTATTGATCTCACTACCTAGATATACAGTGCCTTTCAGATAGGTCCCACTACTAATTTTTGCACGGGTCAAGTTAGCAAGCTAGTGTGCCAAAGCACATCTTTCTGGACACAATCTGGCGTGAGTCCTGTGGGATGTTATTCTGCCCTTTAGTGATCTGGAGGTTTGACCTGTACATATATCTAATTGCAGCAATTACAATTAATGCAGTAGAGAGTATTGGTTAAGCTAAGCATCGGAACTAGGCAGCAGCGGTCTCTTGATCAGTCGCCGTGCGCAGCGCGGATTCGAATCCCGCCCCAAGAGAAATGTTTCCCTTGGATATGGATGTTGTGATTGTCTGTAGGTGGTAGACGGTCTCTGACTGTCGAACGCGGAGGTACCACCCGGCTTATCTTGTCGGTGGGGCCAGAATGTGTGCATGTTGCATGCACAAGTGTTCCCTCGCCAGAGTCTGTGTGGCGTCCCCCCTTTCCCCTGTATCCCCCTATAGCCACACGGTATTCCATGGGTGTTTAGGCCTTAGGCCTTCATGGTCGTTGGAGTATAAAAAAAGCTGAAATATGGAAGGATAACATTGACACATGGATACTATATTTGAAAATAATAACAGTTGAAAATTCCAAAATGGCGGCTAGGCGTAATGTCTTTTCAAGTGGAATGGGGGTCATGTGATATCTTATTTTGAGGGCTCTTGTTAGTGATTACTTTGAAACCGCACAATTTAGCTCCAAAAATGTACTGTGGACTGTAAGCTGTTAAATATGAGCATTTCTGTACATTTATTCGTATAAAACTCAACAACTCATCATCAAAAATGAAAACGATATAACATTTCATATTAATATTCTTCTTTTGGGACGGTCTCTCTGAATGTGTAATTCAATTTAAAAAAAGTTGACATATTTTGAGTAACTGCTGTTAGCTGGAAATTTATTCGAACCAATTTAACGAAGATGTGTATCCAGTGAAAAGACGTATAGTTAATCCAAAATTCTCAAATGAGACCGTATAAAATTATGGTCGGGTCCTTTGCCTAGTCCACCTGAAAATTTATTCATTAGTTCGTGCCGACTAGTGGCCATCGGAGATTAATACCCCAATCCATCAGCCTCATATTTTGGCTGATGACTTTTTCGAAAAATAAAAGCAATCTGCGAAATCCTTAATGCGTTTTGATCTTTTATAGGTTATGATGGGCGGGATCCGAGCCACTGGTTAATTGCACGCTGCAGTGGTAGATCGGTCTAATATCTGACAGGTCGGAGCCTCAGGGGCTATTTTGGAAATAAGTTGTGCCAACAGGGGCGCGTTGCTTTAGGAAATTAGTCGCATCAAATATTCAGCCTTTTCTAAGAATTTGTTTGTCCCTCGAAATCCAGTTTTGTATGTGCCCTGAATATTTTGAGATATATTCCAATATATGACTTTCGGATGTCATAGGTTGCGGTTTAGTTCAAGAAAAGTAGCTCAAAAATCGTCGATCAAAACGAGAAATTCATGTATGTAGTTGTGAAAATTGATAGAGCTATTACTTGATGTGTTCGTATGAACATATGAAGTCTCCAACTAATCAATCTAATCAAATTGCCTGTCACCATCGTCATTTTTGATAGATCTTATACCTCAGATAATATGCTTTGGTTTCTTATTCTACCTGAGACCAAGGCTAAGCCTTGCTGATGAGTTGTCAAAAAGCACAAAACATATATTTATGGTTGACCATCGGTGTTGGAATGGACGAAAGCAGTTATTTAATGGCAAGTAAGTCACATCTACTATCCGCCAGAATCGACAGCAGCGAGCGTCCACAGTGGTTACTCGGCCGGCCGTCAAAATTGAAATCCTTACAGTATCAAATGATAATAGTTGTTCACTCTCGCAGTGGTCGATTCTAGTAAAAGATAGTACTTTGTGCTGTCTTGTATCGATAGATGGTATACCTCAAGTAGAGGAAAGTTGAGACCAAACTTAAACCATACTGATGAGTTGCCAAAAAGCAAGAAACAGCTGTTCATGGTTGTTCGTCGGCAGTTAGAAGGACGAGAGCAGTGTTTCCAATCGGTATGTATTAATGAGTTCATGTAGTCCAGATATTGGTGTTTACGATATGCCACTTTTCTTGAAGTGGGGGTCGCCACAATTGCTCCAAAAAGCAGGCCGAATCCAAAGATTTCGATACACAGAACTAAATAAAAAGTCGTCTGTCAATAGATCTGATGTCAATGAATGGTTCTAAAGTTCTATATCAATTAATCTGTGACAGGTGGGTCCTGTTTGAAAAAAAAAGTCTAAATAATAAATTCTCACCACCCTTCATCAAAAATGAAGTGTACTTTGAAGTAGTGGTTCTCACCTGTTGGACACTGTGACCCTTTCCTTGGGTTGAACTTTTTCCGACCTCCTTTAATAAGAATTTATTTTCTGCTGTCATTACTTGTTGTTGTTTTTATCTCTTTTTGCCTCACACTCCCCCGTTCATACAGACACCTTCTAAGTGCCGTGGTGTCAACTTCAGGTATAGCGGCATAAAGTCATTTCCTTTTTTTTCTGAAACTTATAGTACACTATACTGATATGGGACCTACTTGAACCTTGTGCTTAAATGTCAACATCCCGAAATTACAAAAACTGAGTAATTTTAACAAAGCTATTACTGGGAAAATCCTCATTCGCAATCGGTAGAAATTCTTCCGGGTAGGCCAATACGCTTCATTGTTTAAAAGTCTAGTTAACTTTTTGTTCAAAATAATTAACGTCTCCACAAAATGAAGCACTAAACGTTATGTGCATAGCTGAATTAGTCGATGAGAAGTTGAAGTCGTTACAGTTTCGGTGGCAAGGTATGCGAACCACTTAAGATTCCAATCATTAGAAACATTTGATTCAGCCTTAGGCTCTACCTACCTATTTAACTTAACGTGAAGATGTCGGGTACTCTGTAAACTTCCTATGTATACTAAACACTTTTTTTCTAATTCTTCTCCTCCCCCTAATAATATTGGTAATAGGGATCATGGTCTTTAAACCTTTTCTCAGTCAGAATAGAAATGAAAGAAGAATTTCGCTTGTATTTTATACTCCATCTATCATGTATATATTCATCCGTAGTTCCACCATACCTGATTTATTTTCTGAGGTATAGCTAAATAGGAGAACATAAAAAAGATAAGGGTTCAACAATTAAGTCGTGTAGTGTAAGAATTCGACGTAACTGTTATAGTATTGGTTAAAATCAGTAGCGTTACATCTCTTCGTCATCCTTAGCTGCACTAATATTGCCTCCCATCTTGTCGGTCCTGTGTCTTATTTTCCACTGTTTCATCCTCATGTTCACTAAATCTCACACATTCGGCCTTTCCCAGAACAGCTCTCTTATGAGACAGTTGACACCACTGGGTACACCACATGTTCTGCTTATCTTAACCTATCAGATATTAGAGAGTTTTTAGTGCACCAAAAATAACGAATCGTTAAGCTATCCTTTACGTTATTTTTGGCAGCAATAGCAATTAAGAAAGAGCTTTTATGACCATTAAAGTGAACCAAAAAAGACATCAAGTAGTAAACAAGCAAACGATCTCGTCCTACCTTGTCAAGAATTTGGTTGATACACAGTCCATGAAATAACCTTTTGGCGAAGAGTTTCCATTTATAAGGATAAAGAACGGGTCTGGATACATTGGTGCAGCGGATTTTACAGTTTTCAGTCGTTTTCGGCCATATTTATATAACCTCGGAGTGACGTAAAATTGACAAGTTGATAGTTTGTTCTTCCTGATCCATACTACATAAGAACTTACTATACAGAGTGTCATGACCCGCAAAAAGAAGAAGGAAGAAGAAGAACAACAAGAAAAGCCCGAGAATGAAAAAAACTGCATCACAGATGAAGAAAATCGACTTGATTCGACTAATGTAAAAAAGATATTAGAAGAGAATCGATCCCTGAAGAAAACACTAGCAGAAAAGGAGGAAATAATTCGTCAGCTCAATAACGAAAATTTAAAACTAAAAGAGCAGCAACTGTCAATAACCGCAAGTATTACTGAGAAGGATGCCATAGCATCAGCATTAAATAGAATTAATATGAGACTCGACGAAGTTGAGAAAAACCAATTAGTAAAAGAAAATTCATACACACAAATCTTAAAACAGACGACACCTATTACTAAAAGGCAATCACTGAAATGCATCACAGTTATTCCAAGAGAATAAATCTTTCATCTCTGAACATTCAAATAGAAAGTGTGAGAAACTCAAAAAATGGCGGAATTGATATAAAAATTGATGAATCAAACCATAATAAACTAAAAGATGAACTTCAAAATAAATTGAATGAAAAATACCAAGTTACTGAGCCGAAAATGTTAAATCCAAAAATTAAAATAATAAATTATAAAAGTAGTGAGAAAGCGAATGAAAAGCAAATTGAAGAAGATCTTATACATCAGAATTATATGATTCAGAGTGGAGAGATACAAGTAAAGTTTATCAAATATTTTCCATCAAGAAACAATTACACTATCTACGCGGAAACTTCTGGAAAGCTACTCAAAAAAATCTTCGAAGACAATAATAGAAGAATACTTCTGGGATGGCAATGTTTGACAGTATATCAAAATAACGACACTTCTCAGTGTAGAAAATGCTACCGTTTTAATCATAAAGAAAAGAATTGCAGGAATGAGAAGATATGTGCCAACTGTGGCAACGGTCACGAAGAAGAAAATTGTCAGCATGTATCAATAGAATGCTGCAACTGTAGATATGGAAATGAAAGATATAAAAAAAATTATAATATTAACCACTCACCTACCGACAAAAACTGTCCATCGTACAAATATTATCAGGAACAACAAAACTTAAGGATACTTTTTTAAAATTTAAGTTCATCTTTTACTACTCCTATCTCTAAAGAGGACCTAAAAATGTCAGTAAATAAAAACATTAATGATTTCCAAATTCCAAGTATTGCAACAAATATAGCACAAAACGTCGATGAACTTAATTTATGTACACAAAATTCTCATGCAAAATTTCGAATTTTTAATATGAACATAAGGAGTATAAAACACAACATTGATTACTTAAAAATACTACTCGACCAAATATGGTACAATTTTGATCTAATAGTTTTAACTGAAACGTGGCAAGTGGCTGATATTTCTTGCTTCAATCAGCAGGGATATGACACGCTGTATAACTTTGGCAAACGATGGGGTGATAGTTTTTGTAAGAAATAAACTGCAATATAATCATGATACATTCACTTTCACCGATGGAATCAAAATTGTTCAGAACCCCACGAGTTTTTAAAGAATATCGAATTTTTTTTTCAA